GCTGGCGCCCCCTTCCGCCCGCTCGCGCGCCTACTGTGTGCCGGGCGCGCGCCGGGAGCGGGGCCGCGCGCCTACTGTGTGCCGGGGGCGCGCCTGGGGGGCGAGGTCGCGCCTACACTGCCGCGTCGCGGGGCGGGGTGAGGAGCTGCGAGTTCCCGGAAGCTCCCAGCGGCGTCCGAGGCTCTAGCTCGCGGGTCCACCTTTGCCTTCTCCGCGCTCGCTTATAGCCGTCCTCGCTGCTCCACAAACTTCCTTTCCCTTGCGGAGGACGGTCTGGCTGACCAGCCTTGCCGCTAGTGCCGGACCTTTAGGCTGAGTCTGAGTCCACCGTCGTATCTGCCTGGCCAGGGCACGTCCTAAGTAGTTGCTGACTGAATTAAAGAAGGGATGAGTCCACTCTGTCCCTCCAGAATGTTCTGCGGGGCCTTTAGTGCCAGACCTTAGCTGAGCCGGGCCGTTAGGGCTACAGGCGCCCTTATCTTATTTCTCTTCGTTATTGGTTCTGGAAACAGCACCATGGCAGACGTTATAAATGCAAACTTTCTGACCTCACCGAGACCTACTTACAAACTGAGTGTGGAGTCCTGTCGCCTAATTTTAACAAGCCCTCCAGGTGATTCTGATGCAAACTAAATCTTAGGACCCACTGTTTGACCTTCACAGCAGTCCTGTCAGCCACCAGATGATCACTCCCAATTTACAGAGGAGACAACTGAAGTTTAAAGAGATGGTGTCTTGCGATAGGCCACACAACTATTCTGCGGGAGAGCTTGACTGGAACCCAGGTCTTCTGACATCTAGTCCAATTCTCTTTCTATTCTCAACAAATACTGAGTACCCGCTATGTGCCAGGTACTGTTCTAGGTGCTGGAAAAGCTACAGGGAACAATATAAACTCCCTACCTTCCTGGACCTGACAGTGGAAAGAGACAGGCTATAACCACACAAACAAGATGGATGTCTATTCAAACAATAAATAGAAAGAATGTAACATAAATCTAAGTCGGTAGGACAGAGGATGCGATGTTATTTTATAATAGGGTGAGTAGAGAAGGGGGTCACTGAGAAAGTGACGTTTTCACAGAGCCCTGAAGGATTTGAGAAGTCGACTTATATGGACATTTGAGGAGGGTGCAATCCAGGCAGAGGGAAAAAGAAGGATTCTAACAAGAGCAGTCCTGCCTGCAAATTGCTGATGCCATCTGCTCATTATGATAACATTAGCATTCTGTTATGGGCTAATTGGTTTCCATAGATTGCGAGCTGTGGTCCCAAAGCCTAGCAAAAGACCAAGCCATTCAGTAGGTGATCAGTACATGAATTTTAAATGACTGAGTCTCATATATAGAGAGTTATGATATAGAGCAACATTTGATGAGGGCGCAAGGAAGGAATGAGTTATGATGTTGGCAGATCAAAGAAGGTGGTGATGCTCTTAGGATCTGGGCCAGTAGAGCTGGAAGGAAAGGTCTTCCAGGCAAAGTGTAAAGATAAGGAAAAGTCTTGAAAGTACACAGGGCTCTGCTTGCAAAATGCTTCAGTGCCAAGTTTAACACAATGGTATTTATTCTGTGAGTAGTGAGGAGCCATGGAACATGTTTGAGCAGGTGAGTTACAGGGATAGAGCGAATCACTTAGGCCCAGTGTTGGAGGTGGTACATTGTCAATCATTTCCAGATTTGGCCCCATTCACCGCAATAGAGATGAGGATGACTTCCTTTTGAAGATCTAATGAAGACTTCTGTTTCTGTGATAATCCTAAGCAATTGCAATCTTGTCTTATTCTATTTATTCTGGTATCTTATATTTTTACTAAGTGGTTGGTTCACTATAAAAGTAATATACATGGTAAAAATAAATAAATTCCACCAATAAAAAAGGGCATAAAGAGAAAGAAAAAGCTCCTTTTCTTCCTCTCTCACCCTCCCAGCCCTATTCCTCATAGGTAACCAATAGTTACATTTTAGTTTATTTTTCCCAAAATGCACACATTCATATAGGCATTAATTAAGGTTCTTGATTGCAAGCAGCAGAAATTAACACCCTAGAGATTTTAAGCAGAAAGGAGATTTAATCCAAGATTTCTTCGTAGCTCACAGATCCCATGAGGGCCAGAGAACCAGTCTCAGAGGCCCCACAACCAGGAACAAATCGTTCCATGGCTGCATCCTATACCAGAGTGGCATCTGCACAAGTGCTTTTTGGTGTCATCAACTTTTTAGAGTCAGAATCTGAGACAGGAGTGTCTGAATAGCCTGGGTCATGTGTTTTGCCTGGCAGAAAGGGAGACCGGGAAACTGTGTTTCTGGCATTTTCAATATCTATAGAGGAAGGTACGCTCCAGTATAGGTGCCCCAGAAGGTAGGAGACTCGCCAATATAGGAAGGGTATTCAGATGCTGGACAGTCACAAAGGATAACAAGTGCCCACTACAAATACTCCCTCTAGAGTAGACACCTGTTGCTTACACCTGCACTGCCTCACCTTCTCTGGGAAGAGTCACCTTCTTTCTCTTGGGGAGCCTCCCTCCCCTACTCTCAGTCCATGTGGTTCAGTGGTTAGTATATGTCCAAGCCCATCCTGATTGCTTCAGCCCAGGATTTTTTGTTAAAGCCACTGGAAATGAAGCCCTCTCTTCTGAGGTTGTCAGCTGTCAGGAGGTCAGGATATCGCAAGCCAACCTGACGCTTGCTCTGCCACCACCAGAAGATAGCCTGCCTGAGAGTGAAGCCACTACGCAGGAAAACAGGCAAGTGATAAGAAAAGACGGAGTCAGAAATTCCAATCCCCTCCCCTTTTTTTTATTAGGTTTGTTTTGAGCAGGGTTGTCATTAGTCACTTGCAATCCAAGCCTTAACAAATGCCTATTTTACTTTCGAAATGAATGGGTTCATACAATGCACGCTGTTCTGAATCTTGTGGGGTTTGTTGTTGTTGTTGTTGTTTGTTTGTTTCACTTAGCAAATGGTTTGAGCATATTTCCATATAGGTGAATATAGATCTACTACATCCTTTTTAATGGTTGCGTGTGATACCATTAAGCAGATGTACCATAATTTAATCATTTTAAATGATGCACAATTAACTTGTTTCCAGTTTTCTGCTATTATTAAAAAATCCTGCATTGAACTGTGCTTGTAGGAGACAGATGGCACACTTGGCTAAGGAAATGAGGAACATTTACTAATGGACTAAGTCCAGAAATGTGGAGCAGGTTTAAGAGCCACAGGGTTGGTGCAGTACTCCAAGGCTGGTGGCTGTTACACCCCAGACCTGAAGGGGGAACAGGAGAGAGCAATTGCTGGAATTTTGCAAGAGAGGAAACTGGACAGATCTATCTGCTAGGAGCTATGGCCTTCAGGAGAAGAACATAGCTAACCCCCAGCAACCCAGTAGAGAGTGAGTCCCAGAGGAATAAAAACCTCTGGTCTCACCCTCCTCCTGCTCTCTGATCTCCTGCCCATGCTCCTCATTGGCCAAACTCTACTTTTAGCCGGGGGTTCAGAGCCTGTTGATGGAGTCGTCACAGTGGGCTTCCCAGGATTCAGAGCAGAGAGGAGAGAGACTCAGCAGGGCAAATAAAGTTTCCAGCACCTTGCTGTTCAAAGTGTAGTTCTTGGACCAGCAGCATTGGTACTGCCTGGGAGCTTCTTAGAAATACAGCATCTTGGGTCCAGGATCTGAATTTCAACACAATCCCCAGATCGTTCATGTACATAGAATTTTTGAAACATGGATCCAGCACATCTTTGTATATAAATCTCTTATACAAGTGTATTTATATTCTTAGTATTTATGAACACTTCATCTAGTATTTTTCTACTGATCTCTGTGTTGGTTTGGGACCTCTGAGAATCAAATGCCAAGATGATTTTTATTCTGGAGAAATGGTTGTGTAGGATAAAGAGAGAAGGAGGAGGAAAAAGGAAGAAAAGCTTTCAGACCATGGTGCAGGGTCTGACAACTGAGAAAGGAGAGTGGGAAGGAAGGGGGCTTGGATGGGAGGAGCTTCAGACTCCTGAGCAATTCTGTCATGCAGCTAGACTAATGGGGAGTCCCCAAACAAAGGTGGCCTACTAAGGCATCCTGCATCAGACAGAAATGGTGGATTCTGGTTCCCTCACTACATTCGGTCACTGACTGGGAGAAGCCCAGGGAAGCAGAATTCAGCAAGAATTCTAAAGAGGCTCCAAAGGCATAGCTGCTGAAGGCTCTCAGTCAGCTGTGCTCCCCAGCAGATTCTCTCAAGGGGCGATCTGAGCAGTGCAGCTCCATTGCCAATATGATCCCTATTCAACCAATGTTTATCGAGTGCCTGCGTGCCAGGCATTCTATGTGTTGGATGATAGAGACATAGCCCCCGACTCCTAGGGAATCAGACATGATTGCAGAACAGGATGGTTGTGAGTTTTCATCGTCAGTTCAGGGGAAGGTATCACAGTTTTGTGGGTAACACTGACAGCCTCATGGGAGAGCTTGGCCACAAGTTGGACCCAAAGACCGGATGGAGTCTGGATAGTTATAGGAATAGAGAGGAAACATTGGAAAGAGAGAGCAGGGGGACAGGGAGACCAGAGACTGGTGCAGTGGGTTAGAAAGGAGGTAAGGAGGGTTTGCGAGGAAGTAAATTATTCCCTTTGTTTGCTTTTAAATGTCTAACGTTGTTTTCCTAATAAGGTAAGAATTTTTGGTGTGAAGA